ATTTCACATCCAGGCTTGCTTATTTTGTCAGCTTTCATCCAATTTTGACTTTAAAAAAAAATTTGTGTTGGCCAATAAAAAAAAAAAAAAAAGAAAAGATTTATCCTAAAGAACTTTGAAATAATTAGGAAGTGAAACTGAGTGGAAGGCTTCCATGTCATAAAAGCTTTCAGATTTATTTCCGTACCGAACAGAAACATCCTAATGTCTGGAGGAAAGAAAATTCCAAATGCACACAAAATGAAAATGTGTTATTCTCAAAACCTCTAAGTTGTTATCTACTCAATTTAGTATATGTATTCACATTTTAAAACATAGGAATCAAAAAAAACCCCTCTAATACGTCAACATCACCTCAACATCACCAAAACAAAGTGAGGAAGAGAAAATAATTAGGATACTTCTCACCTGAAGAACTTGTCAAAATAAACATCTGAATTCTGGTTTTGATTAAACCATGCTTTCCAGCAGTAATTTTTCAGCCAAAATTACTGAGCAGAGCTGAGCAAAGTCTTACAAAGGCAGGACAAACAAACATTCCAAAACTGAGAACTGGACAAAATATTTATCATCAGACTGTCTGAATCCTGACTACTGTTTGAACCCTTGTTTTTATCTCCTTTGAATGAGGCACCAGTTTTGTCCCCCTAGGGGACACAGTGATTAGTGAGAGTCAGTGATAATAGTACAGGTAAAAAAGGCAAAGAGGAAAATTTTGGAGAAAAGTAGTTGCTGTCGATGTGATCTCTGCTTGGGACAGAGAATTAGATCCACCACTGTAGCCCTGCTCTTAGATACTGTCCTCTTGGTTCACTGAGCTTGGTGAATTTCAGTTTACTACCTGAGGTTACAGGTTCCTCACAATACCAAGTGGTATCTCAGAAACTGTATGAAATACTACGAGTTTGCCAGCAGCAGTTCGTCTTGCTGGAACTTCACAGAGGAAACAGCAAAGAAATAATTTTCAGTTCTGTTGAAACTTTTACTTGCAGGAAGCATAGACTTATCCCAGTCAGATTTTTACACAACTCTCCCTCCATTTCATACCCATGCCCCAGGCACCTGTGTTAGCTTGTCAGAGAACTGTCGTTTAACAGACGCTCATTATCTCTTCTATCACTTCATTAGGTTTTGATGAGACGGATTTAACTTCGAAATTAGCCCTGTGTTGAGCAGGAGGCTTGGACTAGAGGCCTGCAGTCCCTTCTCATCTAAATGATGCTACACTTCAATGAAGAGAAGTTCTCCATAGAGTCTTAGGGCGAACATACGCCATTATTGTCTTCTTAGGATGTTTGGAGGAGATGGTGGTCACAGTACCCTCATAAAACTAGTAAAGTCTGAACTTGTGAAATTAATGATTATCTGCATTTCCTGTAACTTCACAGTTAAAAAGATTGCCAAATCACTTTTTCTTTTATACAAAATATAATTACACGGTCTCTATCACAAATCTGAATTCCCAATGTCCTGTAACAAACCAGTTAATACTGCACACACATTCATTACAATAAAAGGTCAAAAGATTTGCTAATATTTGTATAAACAACTGTTTCTTAAAAATGAATCTTAATACAGCTACGAAAATGACCACAGACACAAATGTAAAAAAATCTACACTTACAGTTCTATTGCCTTGTTCCACATGATAACATATCCAGAAAGAATGAAGGACTCAATATTTACAATGTGTGTATTTCCCCTTTCTGTTCCAACATAAAGCCATTTACTCTGGAAAGGTAGATGGCAGTAAGTAATCCTGGAAAGGAAAACAAAAAAAAGTGTCTGAATATCATATCAACAATACTTTTTAACACTTCTGCAGATGAAATAACTGTTCTTTCCATTTTACAACTTGAGAAAAGACTGCCTAGCAGGCGCAGCATTCTGAAGAATGTACAGGGTTTGGGGGTTATTTCCAGAAAAATCATAAAAGAGAACACAAAAGAAAGCAAGGCCATCCTGCCTGCTCATATTAAGGGCAGCAAAAAAGAGCCGTATCACTTCAGCACTGAACTAAGTCACGTTATCTCCATGAGTATGTAAATTGCACTATGAGAGTATCCAAGATTCTCAAGTTAGTCTTTCTTAGTATAAGCAATTTTTCCAGTGCAACAAAGAGTAGTTAATGAATATCATCAGCATTAATGTTTTGCACAACAGAAGTCTTCAATCATTGATTCAAGAAAATATTCACTTTATTGGCTAGCTGGGAGAGCAGGGCACTACAGAAGAGCATTACCAAGAGCAGTTCAGTATTATATCCTAGACACACTGAATCCTGCACTCATATGATCCTTACAGGGTAATGAACCAGTGCTGTATTAGCTTGGAAAGATGTCAGGACAGCTTCTCATGATAATATATAAAAGTTTTCGCAGGTGATGAATGAGGAGATTCAGGTTTCTTTGACATTATAGTTATTATAGAGATATTACATACAGTCAGGCAAAACTAAATCTAAAAAAACCATTTGTTTTTGAAATATAATCGAATGCATGCTACCTATAGAGACTGAAACTTAATAATGATCTTATGATATAGACTCATGAATTTTGACACAAAGCTGGTATTTGGCTTGGTATGCCATACGTTATTATATTTATCATTCAGTTCCACAAGCAGGCTATTTCTAGCTTTTATATAAAAATTTGATTTAACAGCATTGCAATAACTTCTATACTTAACACCTTCATCCCCCACAAATGTATAAACAGTATTTAAGAACGCACATATTTCAATTTTTTATTCTTATGGTACAGCCATCTTTCTGAATTAATTATAAAGGAGTGAGAGGCCTGCTGGCTGTCTTCCAGTAATTTGGCCCTCTCAGTCATGTAAAATCCTCTGAGTAGAACATATGCCACCCTTTGAATTAAAGGAATTGTTCAATATCTATGCAAATTTCACATACTTTCTGTAATCGTTCCCTGTAAGGTACTCTCAACAAACAAAAAGATTCCAAACAGATTCTACACAGTATTTGGATAGCCCTGCAGTTTTCCAAATATCTAATCGTGTCAGAACATTTAACATTGAATTCATTCAAGAGAGAAAAAATTTTTGGTTTTGCCTTACGTATCACACCAGATTGAACACAACCGAAATATGCAGTTTTCCCATCCTAATTTATGGGAAAAATTATTACTGAATCATGAATCCAGAATAAGGCTTAACCTTCACAGAAATCTTGTTTTGCTGATTCAATTGAGACTTAAGTATGATATAGGCTTTGTTCTATCCACCTGTAAAGGGCTAAATTTTAGCATTAGTTGTCTAATTTTGGCAATAATTCCACTGCCTTTAGTGGGAAGAGAACCACGTTTTGCTTTGAGAATGAAAATTACAATTTTGTATGTATAAATGAAAATGCCTTCAAGCAGCAACTTAGTACTTATATTGTGGGTGCAGTCACATCGACAAATATCTGACAGAAAGAACTGCAGGTGGTCCATGCCACCTACATTCTCCTTGCTGGAGTTAAAGCTGTTAGCTTTATTTTTCTGTTCACAACAGATGCAAAGAACAATTTGGCCTCTTAACTTTGTAGTTTTACAAATGTGAAGCTGGTTTTCACATCTTCCCTGATCCTTCTCCTTAAACTAAGCAACTCGATTCTTTTGCTTTCTCTTCCAATGCACCATTTGCCACACTTCTGGTTAGATTAATATTTCGTCCAAATTATTTTTATTTCTTGCATTTCTGTACTAGCTCTACTTTTCTTTCTTGCACTCCAAAGCATACACATGCTCTGTCAGGTCCCAGCCCATGCAAAAAACTGCCTGGTTGATAAATCCTCTTAAGCACTTCACACTGATGTTCATTCAACATACGTTTGTAGTAAACTGTTAAATTACAGGAAAAAAAATATTTGTGCCTTTGAAAGTGCTGAAAATGTATCTGTCTATTGACTGACAAACAACTCATGAGTTACAAAGTCAACCCTAGTTGACCTGAATGCTGCTAATCCAAATTCTTGCAGTTCTGTCATCAGACTAAGCAGATTCCAATCCACCTAGAACTGTATTAATTTTCACTTGGCTGATAAACCCATTCACAAGGAAAAGATGCGGAAAACCTGGTCTCCAAAATGCAAGACTGAATCCAATACCTTGATTATGAATAAAGTCTCAAAATCACCTCCGACACCATATGAGGCTGCTCTGGTCTGCTTTTTTTCCTTATTCAAATTGGCTTCTCTAGCAGGTACTGCCACAACAGCCATCAGACTAAATGGGTGTCTAATTTCCCAGCTATTGCATGTTCACCATTTGCCCACCTTAGGTTTAAGATTTCAAGAACATAATGTTTCAAAAGCAAGGTTCTACAGTAAAAAGAAAATGAGACTAAAGAACTAACTACCGACCATCAGTCACTAGACTTATTTTCCTGCTGGCTTATCTGAAATCCAAGGCACCAGTAGCTATTAAATCTGGATATACGGTATGAAGGACCAGAGGAGAATTAGGTGTTGCTAAAGAATGAAGAAAATTACCACATTTTTTTCTGCTTTCCTAAGCTCAGCTATTTCCTCTCAAATAATCTTATTTTGTTCTAATGGATTTATGGGACAGTTGGATAAGAAAGTATTCTGCATGTTCTTTCTTCCACAATGAAAACTACCCTATGAGTCTTCACTGTTTACTGAAACCGTTATTACACATTATTGAATACCACCTTTTACAATATGTGAGCTTATATGAAAATGCTGTTCACTGAAAGACAACCCAGATATGTAACAATTAAAGCACAGGGATTACTACACATTTTAATACAATGCATTGTTAGGCTTCACCAAACAAAGCCAAATGATTTTCATATTTTCAGAAAACAATGCACTGCTCTGAAGTAGTTTTCTTTTACATTATGTAAATTAAATGCAAACTGCTTTATGTATTATTGACTTTTCACTTTTACAGAGGCTTGAAAGCTTTGAAGCAAGCCTCAGATTTTTAATGAACATCTTCCACTTAAGTAAGTACTGAAATCACATAACGATTTCTTCAAGAGAAAACACTGAAGTCTCGTACTGTAGTTTTCATTGTGGATGAAAGGTATCCCTCTATTAGTCATATAGCCCACAAAGAAATTAATCTGTCCTTTGATGCCTTTATGAAAACCAGTCAATTAGCCAGAAAGAAAGACAGGCTATTTTTCTTCTTAAGAAGGTAAGAATTGTAGTGATTTATGCAAGTATGGAATGCTTCTGCCAAAATTTAATCAGATTGTCAATCTGATTGAGATAACATGGAGCCCAATTAAAGGGTGACCTGAGAATTTCCTCAATGTTGATCACTTAACAGAAAGTCAGCCAGAAATAGGGATATTATACATTCTTAGGAGCAAACCACAATATGAGTCTCATTGATTGTTATGAGAAATAGCAAAAACCATGGACTGATAGAAAAAAAAAAGGTGCTCCTGTGCTGCCAAAATGGTCTGGAACATTGCATCAGTTTTCCAATGCATTCAAAGGACAAAACAGGATATAAAATGTAATTTAATAAAAAAAAAAATCAATAGGTGCCAAATAAAACACCTAAATCAGAGTTTATTAAGCAAAGGCTTTTTAGCAAGAGTCCTGGAAACATTAATAAAATTATGTAAGAAATGTAAGAGAGATAATGGAATAACTTAAAGAGGTATTGTCAAAAAAATTGAACCTTATTTTATAAGTGAATATATCCTGGCTAGCAAATTTTGGAAAGGTGTATTTTCAGAAAATCATAGTACTCTACAGTCTAACAACTCCAACCAAAAAAACTCATTGCATATTAGTAGAATAGTACAATGTTAAAATAATTTAGACTGCTACATTCTCTGAAATACTAGTAAAAACTCTCAGGTGGCTTAAAATCATCTTTATTACACTAATCATATTGCTCTAAGAAAAATAAAAGATAATTCTGAGAATACTTCTTTCTGCCTCTGCTTTGTTATTTTTGTTTCCCTATTTTTAGTATGAAAAACTTTCCTGGAACACTGTTCCTGGTGGAGAGTGGGGAGGGCTGCGGAAGTGAGGAGAATAAATTGCATTTTTGTCAAAATGATGAACAGTTTCTCCAATTTAATTATTTAATTGCTTATTTCCTTGATATCAAGACTGCAACTAAATTTATACTGTCTTTTCCCCTTATGCAGATAATCTTAAATATGGACAAGCACAGAACATGTATAGCCCTTATGCCCAGCACTGACTGGCAGAAGGGCTTGGTTTCTGTAAGTTCCTACAAAAACCAAACATCATCTTGAACTGCTTCTCAGAATCCTACCAAAATAAGCTTCACTGTCCAGGGTCTCAGAAAAAATGGAAATCTCAGAAATTTTCACGAGAAGTGGAAGACAAAACATGAAGAAGCCTTAATTTGGGCACGTGAGTAGTTAACAGGAAGCAAGCCCAGTAGCTGCAAGGCATGTCAGCTTGGTCCTGGCCCAGCCTTCCCCCAGCTGGCAGTGACTATTAAGTTATAGCCCATGTCTTACACACAATTTACAGTGCATTGTCCCAGAATGGATGAGTTCAGCTGCTGAGAAAGTTAATCACCTTCTTAAGAAGGTTATGCACATCAGAAGTCTATCTTTTCATTAGCAATTATGGCTCCCATCCTGACTCAAGGGGTCTTCTCCAGCATCCTTTGGTGCCTTCAGCAGTCTCCACCAATTTATGTTACTTATCTCAGCTGGTCATCATCACAAGCTGTTCTCTGGGCACTGCCACCTGATAGACTGGCCATCCTCCCCAATACTAGCCAATGGCTG